ATAAAAATTTTATATAAAAGAATAAAATCAAGATATAAAAAATTAATTTTATAATTATTAAACTTACAGATAATAAAAAACTTATAATTATTATTATAATAAAGATATAAGTTTTAAAACTATAAAAATATAATTTATTTCTTGATAAATCTTAATTATTTTATATTAATTTAATTATAAACTAAAGAAATAACATTATTATTTTTATTTATATTAATTTAATTATAAACTAAAAAAATAATATTATTATTTTTATTTATGAATTTAAAATTATTAAAATTCAAGCAGATAATGAAATTAAGTTAGTATTAAGTTATAATTCTATTTATATTCAAGATAATAAATCATAAATCTACTAGTAATATAAAACTTTTTACTATATATTTTAATAATATTAAAGATAAAAAAATAAAAGATAAATTATTGATATCTAAAATATTAAATATTAAGAAGATAAATAAAAATTAAATATTTTTATGAGAATAGTAAACTTAATTATTAGTTTATAAATTATACTATATTATTTTATTATATTATATATAATTTATATATTATAATTATCTAATTTTGCCAAGAAAAATTATATAATTTTTAAGTTAGTTTTACTTTAGAAAATAGTTCTTTATAGAATTTTTATTAGCTTTATTCTATAAAATTACTAGATAGATTATTCTTTTTATATTTTATTTATAATATTTATTTATATATTTATAAATATCTTTAAAAGATATTATTATTTTAAGTATTATATATTAATAATTAATTGATTATTTATTTATATAATTATAATTTATTATTTAAAGATACTATATTTATTTTATAATTTTAATAATAATAACTATTATAATAATAAAGTTTTAAGTTTATAATAAACTTTTATTTATTTTTAACTTAGTTTTCTATATAAATTCTATTTTAATTACTTTATTAATATCTTGAATTTCTATATGAATTTTCTAATAAAGACAATCTTATTAAATTAACAATATCTATATAGTAATTTTTTTTGGTTTATCAAGATCTTTAAATTAGCAAGAAATCTTTTTAGAATAAAGATAATAATAAAATAATAATAATAATTAGATTAATAAGATAAAGATAAATATAAAATTTTATTTTGCTGTAAAAAAATTATCAATTTGTATTTAAATCTTTGATTTAATACTTACTTTATATGTCTTTTTTTTTTATAGTTTTCAATTCATTTAAAAAATTTTTACTAATATTAAAACTTTCTTCTTTTTGTATTAGATATAATAAAAATTTATTAATCAATATTATTACTTCAGTAGATATTATTTCTTATTTTAGTATTTTTAAAATATCATTAATAATTTCAAGATTTTGAACTAAAGTAATAATTTTCTTGTCATTTAATATATCTTTAGTTTGTAATAAATTATTAATAATTATATATTTACTAATTATTAAAAAATCTTTAATTAGAAGATAATTAATCAATTATTAAATAATTTTTTTATTATTATTATTGGGAAAATTGCAAATATTAATATTATTTGATAGAAATATATTAGTTTTAGTCTAGTATAATATGATCATAGCAGGCTTTACAAGATTCCATACTTCTATTATAAAATATATTATATTAAAGATTGTGAGATCAAGTACAAATATATCTATATTAATATATTTATTATATATATTTATTCTATTCTTAAATAAAAACTATCAATATTTTGACTAAAAAAAAATTAAAATTATATACAAAAAAAACTAATTAAAAAAATTACTTATCTTGAATAAATAAATTATTTTTATATCATATAGTTGCAAATATATTATTATATTTGATAATAAATAATATAGTATAATATTAGAAAATAAAATCTTCTCATCAAGTAAATATATCATAGTATTATTAAATAAGAAAAGAATAATCTATTATAATTTTTATATATCTTGATTGAGTTTTATAAGCTAATATAAAAAGATTATTAATTATATTCAAGTACTTGAAATTTAGTAATAATATACTATTAAGTTATTTTTGTTAATATTTTAGAAATATCAAGAATTTTTATATTTATAAATAAAAAGAGATATAAACTTTGACATACTTATTATATTATATATAAATAAAATTATAATATAATCTTTTGGTTTTTTTATATTTGAAATTAGATAATAAGAAAGAATTTTTGAAGATTTCAACTTTCAAGAAAGATTTATTTTATCATAATTATATATATCATCAAGATTTCAGGCAGAAATAAGATTCTGGAGATTATTATGATATTATAAAAGATCTTCTAAAGATACTAAATTTGTCTTATTATAATAAATATACTTATAGATATTATAATACTTTTTAAATTTTTTCAAATCAGCTATTAAAACTCTTGAAATTCAAAATATCAAAAACTTTTGCAAAAGTCTAAGCTTTTTCAATAATTATATATTCAGACAAGATATAATTTACATTAGTTACTTGATTAATTCAAAATATTAATACTTGCTTAATATTTAAATATTTTGTTATTCTTTTTTAATATAAATTTTCTATATAACTATTTGACTAAAGAAATAAGTAATATTTTTTTTAGAATATCAGAAATAATGGATTTACTAATATTATACTTAAGAGCTAGCTTAATATTTTTTATATTTGAATTTATAACTTTTTCTTTACTTATTTTAATTTTTTGCTTAAGTAAAATAACTATATATTTTCTTCTAAAAATAATTATTTCTTGGCTAAAGACTGATTTTTTTGGTACTTGTAAATACTAAATAATATAATATTATTTTTTTCCTTATAGTTCATAATAATTTCTGAATTTTTATTATTATTATTCTTTTTATTTATACTTTATACTAATAATTATTAAAAAGTACAAAAAAAATTTGAAATTGATTAGTTCAAATTTTATTATGTTATTTTCTTTAGATTATCAAGAGAAAATAAATATATCTATTATAAAAAAATCTTTGATTATTAGTTTAATATATATTTAATATATATTTTTGATTTAATAGAGCATTTTAAGTTTAATGAAGTATTTAATATATATTTTTGATTTAATAGAGCATTTTAAGTTTAATGAAGTATTTAATTTAATGGGATCTGGTTTAATAATATTATTTTTATATTTTATATTTTATATTATATAATAAGAAAAATTATAAATAATAATATTAGAAAATTTAAATTCAGAATTTTGCTTGTTATATATTCTATTAGTATTATATTTATTCTTATTTTATATTTTTTTAGATATAATAATTATAAATAATATATTTAATATTAATTATTATTATAACTTTACTAAAAATAAGCTATTTCTTGAATTTAGATCTATATTTATGATTATTTTTTATATATATATAATCTTTTTAAATCTTTTTTTATTTAGAACAAAAATAATTAATTCTAATTATTTATTTACAATTACTTTTTTAATAATCTATTATAATATTAAAGTATATTAATTATTTATATATAAGTATAATTTTAAGTTTAAATTAAAAATAAATTTTATATTAGAAAAATTTTCAAATAAAATAATTTTTGATTATTTGCAGACAAATCTCTCTAAGTTTAAGCATATTTTTTAGAAACTAATTCTTAAATATATTAGTAAAATATATATTTTTTTATAAATAAATCTTTTATTTATTATTAAATTTATTTTTATAAAAATAAAAATAAAAATAAGATAATAATATTATTAAAATATATAGAAATTTTTTTGAAATTTTCAAATTAAATTTCTTTTATAATAAAATTTATCAAAATTAAGCCTTTTTTTGATGGTATTTATTCAATAAATATTAACTAAATTTTTTTAAATTATAAATATATTTTCTATATCTTTAAATATATTTCTATAAAATTATTTTCATATTTGCTTATAAAAATATTTTTAAATAATTTTTTATACTATTTTAACCACAGTCATCATCTTTAGCATGTGATTTCACAAAATATTACTATATTAATACACTTTGTGATCTTAAAAAATATAATGCCAAATTTTATAAATTTTTAGCAATTTCTTATTAAGTTATAGATGAAAAACATATCCACCATTACTTTTCATACTAACTGAATTATATTTTTATTTATATAAAAGTAATTTTAAAATTAATTCTCATTTAAATTTTATTATAATAAATAATAATTATAAAATTATAAAAAGCTTATAAATCTTGATTTATATTTTACTATCTATATTGAAAATTTCAAGATAATTGATTTTTAATTTAAAAATTCATAAATAGTTAAATTTTTTAACTTTTATACTTAAAATAGTAAAATCTTTAATTTCTTAAATATTAAAAATTAAAACTATTAATTTTAAAATATAAAAAAATAAAGCTAAAAATAATATTAAATAAGAGTTAAAAATAAATTTATTTATTTAATTTTTCTTTAAATTATATAAGACTTATTTCTTTAATCTACAAGAACTATTCTTATTAATATAACAAATTTTATTGAATTCTATTTAATTTTATTTACTATTTTATATAATAAATATTATATAATTTATTTATATACAGTGGCCATCAAAAGTAATGCAACGCTTAAATTTTTTACTAATTATAATTAGTAAAAAATTTAAGCGTTGCATTACTTTTGATGGCCACTGTATAAGATCTATTAAATATTTTTATATTATAAAGTTACAAATTATATATAATATTCTATAATAAAAAATAACTATTTATAATATATTGAGCATTAGAAATAAAATTTTAAACATTTTAAATTTAAAAAAATTTTAGTTTGTTGTAACTAAAGTTAAAATTTAATATATATGCTTTTAAATAAAAATTATAGCCCAGTTTACATATTAAAGTCACACTCTCATAATAACATGGTCGGGGGACAAAAAAAGCTTTGTTCTTATAAAATTTATAATTATGTTTTTATAATGAGGGAAATTTTATGGTAAGCGTGATTTGTAATTTGTCTTATATAGTGTTCTTATAAAGAGGTGCGACTGTATGTCTTACGCGTATTAACATTATTCAAATCAAGTCCTGACAATCGAATTGTCGTGTAATGTATCTGATATAAAAAACGCATAAATTATGATAAACTTACGCATTAAGCGATAAATGCAAAGAAAAAAAATACATACTATCTTGTAGTTTACGTAAAAACCCATTTGGAGCGATGATATTAACACCTAGATTGATTATTCGCATTTGATGAACATTGTTATTGCATATCGATATATATAAAATGGAAAAAAAATTACCAGCTTCTTCAATAATTTTTGAGATCGATCTACTTTTGTATATTGCGTCTATGTGAATTTTTCTTTTCTTTGTTCTATTTTCCATACATTTTTCAACTTTATTTTGAACGGTGAAATAATCCCATTCTCTAATTATATTAAAAATTTCGTTTGCCGCTGGGCGTTTCGATGGATTCGGATCCCAACAACGCATCATTAGCTCTTGATAATATTTCGGCATACCATCAGGAATATCTGGCCGAATTCCATCACAAATATTTAAAATGAGTGCGATATCGTGACTACAGCTACTAAACGGACGCTCTCCGTTCCAAAGTTCCCACATTATCATTCCAAAGGAGTAAATATCGCTAGCAGTAGTGTATTTTTTGGTTCGCAGGACCTCAGGTGCAACGTATGGTATTATGCCAAACACTTCATCATCCACAATTTCAGCAATTTTTCTACATCGTCCAAAATCTGTTATATATAACAAATTTAAACCGCATAAAATATTGCCACTATGCAGATCCCGATGAATGTATTGACGTTCGTGTAAAGATTGTAATCCTATAGTTAAATCAAGTAAGTTGTCACATAAATAACGGTAGAAGACATTTCCACTTTTAATTAGATCATATAATGAACCGTCTTCATAAAAGCGAAGCACTAGAATATAATTTTTCGTTTCTGAATCTCTAGAAATTCCAAATATTCTTGCCATATTACCAAAGTGACTATTGATAACGGCAGATTGAATCTATACGTTTAAATATAAGTTAAAACAAATTTTAAATTAGTTAATTCAAAGCCAATATTCACTTACTTCTTGAATTGTATTACAATTTGCATTACTTGAATTGAATAACACCTTTAGTGCAACAAAACTTGGTCCCGCTCGAATTAATTTTCTTTGATTTTTATTGAAACTAATTATATAACCCGAATTCCAAATTGCTTTTGATACGCTGCCAAAACCTCCTTCAGCAATTAATTTCATTTCGTTAAATTCTTCATACTCGATCCACTCGAGAAAACTTTCAAGTTGAGCTGCTTTAATAATTTTATCAATTTTTTTATTTTTGCTTGTCCATGGAGGGAGATCACAAGTAGGGCAAAACTGATAATAAATGTTCCATTTTTCCTGACACTTTGAACAATTTACTTTCGTTCCTTGTTATTGAAAAAATTTATTAGTACAGTTTGACTCTAATTAAAATCATTAGGTTTTAAACTTGACTTGGAGGATATACCATTTGTACATTGTAGCACTTCGTTTACAGTTTGGAGAATTCTCATTATTTAGATGATTGAATGGCTAGGGCTACTCCGTCACTTTTTATACGAGGTATGCACGTCGTATAACCGTAGAATTTTTTAGTGGTAAAAATATGTATGTAGATCAAACATGTGTAGATCAAACATGTGTAGATCCAATGACATCAGTGAAAAAATATGCATGTCCTACAAAAATTCATTTTATTTTTATTTACACTATTAACTGAAATTGATCGACAAAAAATAAAATATCACACATCTCAATAAATGCGTGACCGATTTGAATTACACGATATTATTATTTGATTGGGTGAATTTTTACTTTGCAACACGAGACATATTAAATCAGCTTGTAATTGGTCAAAGCCATTCCGAAATTGGACTAATTACTAATTTTTTAAATCGTAAAGAATATCAGATTGAAAATTAATCCGATAATAAATATCTCAATTTTTTATGACATGCTTTATCGATCTGGCAAAACAAATTTGATTCAATAAATAAAATGAGAAAACTAATAAATAAACCTGTTTTGAACATTAATAAAAGTGTCAGAAAGGTAGTTTTCATGTGATTTTGTCTTTTTACTGAATACCTTACCATTATCTTGACTCTAATCGGATGTAATGAAAATAAGAATCCAAATTAAATCGCAAATTTAGGATGAATATCTTATGTTCAGTGAATTATTCAAGAAAAAAGATTACCATTCGTTTTTTCCAGTTGAAAAAAATTCAAATGGTAGTATTTTCGCTCGAATCGGATCACTAACGTCGAAATATTATTGCATAAAGATTTAATATTTCATAATGGTAAAAGATGATAATTGTTCTTGCTCGGAAAATTACGGAAAGTCAGTAGGAATTGGATACTTTTGCTGTTTTGAAGTAATATTAAAAGTAAAATTTCCGAATATCGGCATGTCAGATTTTGATCATGTTACGGATTGCGGGTTTTTAAGTGTATATTATAGGGGATTTTGGTTTTCGTTTATTAATAACGAATATGGGAATAAGACGGCATGTGGCTTGATTAGAGATGTGCCTATGCGCGCATATATGTATACGCATTATGCGCATAGTTACTAACCGATATCGTAAATGCCCCATACACAATTATGCATATGGTTAAGTTCATAAATCATCACTAATTAAGGCATTTGTACTCACGCATTTATACAGAACATAAGTATAATGATAACGATAAACATTATTGTTGTACATATTTTATCATTATCGTTATGTTCTATATGGAACATTTTAATCAATACAGAACATACATATAATGATAACGATAAACATCTACATCTTTATTGTTGTACACTCCCCTGACACGGGTCATGGGACTTTTTTCCGAATATAGTAATGCTCGATTTTTTTATAAAATTTCAAGTTCGAAATTCTCAACAATCTACATAGCAATTTACGTCAGGTTTTTTTTATCGAAATGTTACATCAATGAAGTTTATTTGACTTTATCAATAAGGTGTAGGATGCCCGTTAGCTTTAACTACAGCTTGAACACGGCGCTCCATACTTTCAACCAAATTTCCATAAACTGATTCATCTATGTTAGACCATTCCTCTTGCAACAGATTGAACAGTTCAGTTTCATTTTTTGGTAGAGGAATGCGCTTACGAATACGTTGCTCTAATTCATCCCAAATATTCTTGATAGGATTGAGGTCGGGGTTTTGCGCGGGCCAGGGAAGTTGATCAATATTATTATCTGAAATCCAACGCAAAGTTAACCTTACTCGATGAATTTGTGCGTTGTCATCTTGAAATACATAATTATTTTGATATCCAACTCTCCTAAATAAGATAACAAATGGTTATTTAAAACATTGATATAGTCATTTGCAGTTTGCCTACCATTAACTCGAACTAGAGGATCCAATCCAAATGAACTAAAACATCACCAGACCATGACCCCCTTGCAACCTGATTTAAAGGTTGGAACTAAACAGTTGACATCGTATTTCTCTTCAGGTTTTCTCCAAACATAATCATGACCATCTCCCCCAAATACTTCAAACCATGATTCATCACTCCATATGATGAATTTCCACTCCTCCTTCCAATTAATTCTTTCTCGAGACCATTCCAAATGTAATTTACGATTTTTTTCATTGATAAAAGGTTTTCTCTTGCTAACTTGACCATAAAATCCTTCTTCATGCAGATAACATTGTATAGTACGTGAGGAAATATTGGTAGAAGTCGACTCAATAAATTTATTAGTTAAATTATTTAAGGAAGCTTTTTGATCTGTCTTTAATAAATGAACAAGATGATGTGTGTCTCATTTAGTTAGTTAGGCTTTGGTCTGGGGCATGGAGGTAGTTTTATTTCACCAGTTTTTTTATAAGTGTGTTAATAATCCTGTAGACAGTAGTTTTTTTGAATTTTAGGGTATTTATAATGGTAGGAATTAGCACTCCGTACTTTCAAGTGCCAATCATCTTATTGCATTCTTTTTCTGAAAGTTCTCTTCATTTTTTATTCATCACGAGTAAGAAAAGGATGAGGTAGTGTCTCGATTACATAATAAAAGAAGAAGTCTTCTGAAAAAAGGGAAAAAAATTTGTATCACTTTTTTTATGCTAATCTGCATGTAAATCACTTAGAAAGAATGCTAATAGTCATAGCTAATCATACTTAATTCAGAAAGTTCCATGACCCATGTCAGGAGAGTGTACATATTTTATCATTATCATCAAAGTTCTATATGGAATATTTTAATCAAATTGGTCATATTGCTAGATTTTAATAATAGTATGCAGAATATAAATACTGTGAAAATCTCAATTATCAATGCAATAATTCAGTAATTTGGTGTAAGTCACATCTGTGCATATGTCCAAATACCTCAATTGAAATTAAATAATTATTTTTTGATATGAGCTTTGAAAATCTAGAAATTGCTAATACAAGTTTACTCAATGTCAATTCACCTGAAAGTTAACTTATGCAAAATCAGATCTTTTCAGTAATATATTCATTGATAATATTGATCTTGATCTAATTACTTGGTGAATTATGAATTTTGCACAAGCAGTGCCAGAGTTAACACAATTAGCGTGACATATCTTAATAATTTCAACATCATCTATATCTTCTGAATATAACTGATCAGCTTTTGCAAATATTCATAATAAAAAAAAATTGGTTGAGCAGTAAACACATTTTTAAATTATAGTAATCATAAATTACAAACTCCTCCATTAATAATGAAATAAGTATCAATCAATATTATGCTGGTAATGAGAGAAATGAAAGTGAATATCAGGATAATAATGAAAGTAAATATCAGGATAGTAATAATAATAACAATTTAATTTCAAGTGATAGTGATAATTATTGATAAATATATATATTTAGTTATGAAAAATAAAAATTATCATTAGTTTTTTATGAATTCATATCATGTATTTGATTACTATATATGAAGAAATACTAAAGTAAGATAGTGAATTATATGTCAATTCAAATTATATAAATCCAGATCATGTCAATCTGAATTTATTTATAAAGTTATACAATTATACACAATATATTTTATCATTATTGCAAGTTAATTTTTTTTGTTTTTATTTTTTTGAATAATTAGTAGAGAAATAAAAATAGTAAGAATAAGAATAAATAGAGAATGAAATATTAGTTAAGAAATAATTATGTTGATAATACAAACTTAAAAATATATTCACATAAGAAACACAAAAAAAACCAAATAAATTCATGCAAAAAATACAAATCTTATATTTCAAGTTATATTTAAGTTATAAGAAATATTATAAAAATAACTTATATATATATATAAATTATATATATTATATATAGATTATATATATATCACATGATATATCACACATATATTATATACACATATATTATATACATATATATATATATATATCTTTATATCTCAAATAAGACTTTTAATACAAGAAATTATTAATAAAAAATATATAAGTCTTTTTAATATTAATAACTTCTTTGAAGTATTTGAAAAGAAGTTTTATAAAGAATTATGACTACTTATATTTAATATCTAGATGTAATATAATAACTAGTAATCTCTTAATAATAATTTTTGGATTATTTATATCTGTTATCTCTTAAAGTATTATAAATTTAATATGTAGAAAGTAAAGATTCTAGTTGAAAAAAGAAAAAAGATAAGTAAATTTGATCCTAATCAATATGATATCAGAATTAAAGTAATGCATATCATTATAATACAAATAGTATAAATTGAATATTATAAAAATACTTTAAATTATATATACTAAATCAAAAATATTAATTAAATAAAGCAGTCAAAAGTAATCAGATAGTTAATAACTAATAAAATAAGTAAATTATATAAATTACCAGTTATTATCACCATAATTAAGAAACTCACAATAAATAAGAAACTTGATACTATTATTCAAAAATTATATTGAATTGAAGTAATAAATATTCAATAAAATATATGCAAATTACTAATTAAATATTTTATAGATAAAAAAAATCTTGAATCTGATATCTAGTATACTTTGAAATTTCTAATTAATAAAAATTATTAAGTTAAGTATTTTGAGATTATATAATAATTACAAAAAATATCACAAGATTTTTGCTTTACAAATTATAATTAATTGAAAAAACTATAATATTACAAATAGCTAACTCTTATAAACTCAATATATAATATTAACAAGTACTTGTGATATCTTTTCATCTTATATATTCAAGATAATTTGGTTACTGGAATATAAATATATATTTTCTTGTTAGTAAAAAAGATAGTGATATAGTAGCTAAGATATTAAAGATGATTTATTAATTTAAATCTTATTAACTTTCTCATTATATATTATATAATCAAAGTAATATAGAAATAAATAGTATTATAAATATCTTTTCTAATATTATATATAGTAAGTAAAATTATAATATTATTTTTTGCATTATATATATTATGCAAATATAGCTATATAAAATTTATCATTTAGTGATATGCAATTAAATAAT